AATTCTCCTGCCTCAGCCTCCTGAGTAGCTGGGACTACAGGCATGCGCCACCATGCCCAGCTAATTTTTGTATTTTTAGTAGAGACGGGGTTTCACCATGTTGACCAGGATAGTCTCGATCTCTTCACCTCGTGATTCACCGACTCATTCTCCCAAAGTGCTGGGATTATAGGCGTGAGCCACCGCGCCCAGCCAATTTCAGCTTTCTTATGTCATGATGCTAATCATAACTCTCTTGGGCTTATCTCCCCAACCAGGTTGTGGGCGTTTTTTTGTCACCATCTGCTCTGAGTACCCAGCACAGTACTGAACAGACACTGTACAAATTCAGTAAGCACTTGTTTCACTAAGCATTCTGGCTCAATACATACATTTGCACTGGTTGTGGTGAGAATCTCCCTCACAAATTATTCACTCTTTGTCAATAGGGAAAACAGTTTTCCATGAGCACTTAGCTGTTTGTCCACAAGCCACATGGTAAAAGTATCCCAGAGGACTACAGCCATCTAGGGCCTTTCCATTTGGTCAAACATATATAAACCAGGGTGGGATTACTGCTCCCTTCATTCTGAAGCAAAAATGGCTTTTTGCATGCTCACTATGGTTTACACTTTCTCATTATGTGACTCTTTATTTTTCTTTGGTTCTCCTTATTTCTCCATGTGACTCTTTAACATAAATACTTTAATTTGATGTCACCCTTGACCTAAAGTAGTTCTAATTACAAATGCGGCCAGAAGTTATGGCCACAAAATGTAATAAAATGCTTGCTGAATCCACACTGCCTGTATCTCCACTCCTAGGGTCAGAGTAAGTCAGTGGCCAAACAAGTACTGCAAATTATAAAGAGCTAACTACTTTTGCTCATTCAAAATCGTGAAAAGGACTGCCTTGGTAGGTGGTGAGGTTCTCATCATTAAAGGTCTTTAGAGAGGCTTACAGGCCATATTTTTGGGGGAGGCTGAAAGAAGCAAACCCATCCAAAAAGGGATGGAACTAGATAATGTCTCTTCCAACTTGAAAACTCTAGAAAGTTGAATTTGTCACGAAGAGAACAGCACTTAATATATCCCAGACCGGAATAATTCTATAGTTCCCTATAGCACTCCTCAGTACTATCTGCATACAGGCCCCTGAGTGAGTTACTGGTCATGTCATTCTCAAAGACAGGTATAATGAAGAGTCAGAGCTCAGGTGCTACATCATTCCTTAACTCAACAAGAATCATAAAGATTTACCGAAAAGATAAAATATTGTATGGATCAATACCATTGTATCATACATTGCATTATCAAGGGCTATTCAAATGTATGATGATATTTTACAGAGCTTCAGAATCCCCAGAGCTCTTTTGCTCCTTTGTTCAAGCTAACGAGGAAGAGACTGGACTACAAAAAAAGAGAAGAAAAAAAATCTGTTACGTCGGGCGAGGTGCCTCAGGCCTGTAATCTCAACACTTTTAGAGGCTGAGGCAGGTGAATCATCAGAGGTCAGGAGTTTGAGACCAGCCTGTCCAGCGTGGTGAAACCCCGTCTCTGCCAAAAATACAAAAATTAGCCGGGTGTGGTGGCAGACACCTGTAATCCCAGCTACTAGGGAGGCTGAGGCAGGAGAATTGCTTGAACCTGGGAGGCAGAGGTTGCAGTGAGCCGACATCACACCACTGCACTTCCAGCCTGGGCAGACAGAGTGAGACTCCGTCTCAAAAAAAAAAAAAAAAAAAAAAAAAAAAAAAAAAAAAAAAAAAAAAAAAAAAAAAAAAAAAAAAAAAAAAAAAGAAAGAAAGAAAAAGAAAAGAAAGAAAAGGAGTTCCTAGTACAAATTCACACGGAGATTTCTGGAGCACTAGGAAAGCAAATATCCTCATGTAAGTAAAAAATTGGTGGTCACAGTATCCATGTATTTTCTCTAAAAGTTCAGACTGAAAGAACTCTCACAATCCAAGATCCCTGATTGTTTAAAGGTCTCCAGGCATCGGATCATGTCTTCCAAAGCCTTACTACACGGTTTTGCTTTCTGGGTAGTTTCCCCAGTTTGTGACAAGAACTTGTTTGTAATTTCCCACAATTGTCAGAGGTTTTAAGTCCTTGCTCAGAAATTGATTTTCTACAGAAACCATCTCGAGTTCCTGAATTTGCTTCTCGGGCTTTACCTACCGTTCAGGATGCCTCTTCATAGGGAAGGGTGGTGCGAGGCAACAGAAAGGAATTGACTTCGGGGACTTTGATGGGCAGGAGGCAGAAAACGGGGACGTCGACGCTCTACGAGTGATCAAGACTCCCGATTTTGAAGGGAAGGACGAGCCACAGTAGCTACAGCCCCACTCCAGGAAGCTGCAGCTGGAAGAACAGGTATTCCAGCTCTCGTTCCCCAAATCCGGAGGCTGCTCAGGACCCCCAACCTCACAGACACCTGAGCTCCAGACCTTAGAGACAGTCGCCCTCGGTTCTGAGGCCAGCCTGAGGCGCCCGGCGTTCCCACCCCCAACCCGAACTCACAGCCAGTCTCCTTCTTGATCTCCTCGAGCTCTTCGTCCCGCAGTAACGTGGAGGCCCGAGAACCCATCGCCTTGTCGGGGGCTCCTCCAGGAGCAGCGGCGCCAGAAAAGACGGCGACAGGAGGGAAGGAGGGAGGGGAGGAAGGGCTAGGGGTCAAGAAGGGAGAGGGCAGTGTTTCCACTGCGGACCCAGGAGGGAACCCAGGAGTGGTGCGCTGGGGAGGGCGGCCCCGAGGACCCGCCAATCAGGCGCAAGGCAGCGCCCGGCTCAGGAGCCGACGTCAGCGTTCGAGTTCCAGCCCCGAATGAATCAGCCCAGCTCCAACCCAAGTCCAGCAGAAGTCGGACCCCGCCCCCGGAACCGCAGCTGCCACCGGCCTTAAAAGGGCGATGCCACGCTGGCGCTAACGACGCAATTAAAAGGGCAACTCCATTGGCCAACCGTTTGACAACAAACTAACCTGAGGCAGGCAGCGAAGCCTACCCTTTCTCACAGGCATCGAACACTAGGAACCCAACTCGATAGCTGGTACGCATTGCGGAGAGAAACGTCGCTTGGGGGGAACCCTAGGGTGTGCCCCTCGAGAACTGCACGCGGGGAGTCTCCCGTCATCTTTCCTGGCGGCCGTCCTCCTCCAGGCCGCAGGGGGCGCTGGGGAGCGGGCCTCGGGGTCGCATGCTGATTGGCTTCTCCGGAAACGGACAATTCTCGACGTTGGGCCTGACGGGCGTCAGCTTTGCGGCGCGGGTGCTTGGCGTCGCCAGGTTGCTTTCAGGCTGTGATTTGATAACTCCTGCAGGGTGGTGTGGAGAGCCTCGAGACTTCTTCACTGCAGCCTCTCTTCTTTTAGTCCTAGACTGAGGAACTAACCACCTGGGTGAAAGTGGGGTCCAGATTTCCCAAACTTGCTTCGGAGAAAAAAGCCCTAACGGTGGAGGACAGTGAATTCCTAGCGTATGGTCCGCCGTTTATTTGAAGTTCCGTATTTTTGTCTTAAAAATGAGAAAATGTGCATTTTATTCTCATGGTGTATTGTTTGTTTTGATGAAAAAGGGAGTCCGGGCGCGATGGCTCACACCTGTAATCCCAGCACTTTGGGAGGCCGAGGCGGGCGGATCACCTGATGTTGGGGGTTCAAGACCACCCTGACTAACATGGAGAAACCCCGTCTCTACTAAAAAATACAAAATTAGCTGGGCCTGGTGGCGCATGCCTGTAATCCCAGCTACTCAGGAGGCTGAGGCAGGAGAATCGCTTGAACCCAGGATGCGGAGGGTGCAGTGAACCGAGATCGCATCATTGCACTCCAGCCTGAGCAACAAGAGCGAAACTGCGTCTCAAAAAATAAATAAATAAATAAATAAATAAATAAATAAATAAAAATAAGTAAAAGTCACCCGTTAAACTGGTACCCACTGTCAGGTGAACCAGTTTTTACTGCTTCACTTGCCTTACCCCTTCACACCTGCTTGGTTAGAACTCATATAGAATACGGAAAAACCGAATTCCGACCACTGTTAGTACCTAAGTACTAGGATATTTTTGTCTTAGCAAGCTTCCCAGGTCAATTTAGGAATGTCCCAGGTCAACACTTAATTTTAAGTGTTACCTAAGGCTTTACAGCCTGAGGCCCCACACATTACCTGCAGGCTGAGGTTCTACTTTGAAGAACTAGATTTTTGTTTCTTTGTTGTTTTGTTTTTTTGATACAGAGTCTCACTCTGTTGCCCAGGGTGGAGTGCAATGGCCTGATCACGGCGCAATTTTGGCTCACTGCAACCTCCACCTCCCAAGTTCAAATGATTCACTTGCCTCAGCCTCCCGAGTAGCTTGTATTACAGATTCGTGCCACCATACCCAGCTAATTTTTGTATTTTTACTAGAGTCAGGGTTTCACCATCTTGGCCAGGCTGGCCTTCAGTTCCTGGACTCAGGTGATACACCCGCGTCAGCCTCCCAAAGTGTTGGAATTAGAGGCATGAGCCACAGTGCCTGCCCTTAGATTACTTTTATGATTGGCGTGGGCTTGTGTGACCTAGTGATGTTGTTCCTAACACTCAGTAACATTTTGGATGTGCCCAAAAGCTTAATCACTGGAGCTGCTTTTTATGTTGAAATCTGGCTGTGACAGGAAAACCTTGTCAGCCCCATGAATGTCCCTTTTCTCAGCCCTGAAGCCCATCTCTAGATGCTGACCTTACTTTTTTTCCTTTCTAATCTTGAATCTTACCATTTGCAGCTGTCACCAGTCAAAGCTTTCATTACTTTGTGTTAGTAATTCTCTTATTTTCCAGGCATTTCACAAACTTTTCTTTCTTGGATAGCTTTTAAAAAGATAAATTAGCTTTTGCGTCTATTAAGGACTAGTTTTTTTCCAGTTTTATATATTTTGCTTTAAAAATTCTCCTTTTGCTTGTTGGATTAACTTAAAGAATGGTTTATCTTAGACTCTTTGATGATTTATTTTATGTTCTGTCTGGTTGCATAATTCTTGGTCTTGAGCTAGACTACAAACATCCTACACTAGAGGCCTGACCTTAGTTAAGATTGCATTACCTTCTAGCTGTGTGGCTTTGGGCAGGTGTCTTAAACTTCTAAACTTCAGGTTCCTCATTTATAAATTAAGTTATGGTTGTTGTATCAAGTGATATTTGTGTAAGCGCTTGATTGACCTTAAAATATAAAAATATAGGTTATTTATTTCACTGAAAATGGTATGTAACATCTCACCTTCTTCCTAGTTGACTTAGACTCTAGTTACTTCATCAGTGTTTTTATGGCTAAATTGCAAAATTCACTGGTTGAGTTTTCCTAGTGTGGCAAAAGTAAGCAGCTTTTACATTTAAAACACTGTAGAAGAATCTTTAAGTTTCTAAATACAAGGACATCTAAATAACAGCAGAGTTCTAAAATAACTTTTAAAAGTTACTGTATTATGGTAAATAAGAGTACCTACTTTCTTTTTTTTTTTTTTGAGACAGAGTTTCGGC